TTCGGTTCAAAACCCAGAGTCCTTCTCAAAACCCCAAAGAGAGGGCGCCTGGGTGGCTCAGTCCTTAAGCGCCTGCCTTCGGCTCAGGTCATGATCCCAGAGTCCTGGGATCGAGCCCCGCGTCGGGCTCCCTGCTCGGCGGGGAGTCTGCTTCTCCCTCTGACCCTCCTCCCTCTCATGCTCTCTGTCTCTCTCTCTTGCTCCTGCTCTCTCTCACTCTCACTCATTCACTCTCTCTCTCAAATAAATAAAATCTTTCAAAATAAAGAGCGTTCTGAGGCGCCTCATCTGTTGGCTTTGCTTATGGCACCTGCCAGGGCTATGTCACATGGTCACCCCATATGCAAGAAAGACTGGGGAAGGTTGTTTTCCTCGCCTGGTTTGCTGGCACCCATGCTGAAACTGAATTACATCAGCAAGGCAGAAGCGGAGAATGGATAGTAGGAAGGCTGCCAGCAGCATGGCCAGCTTTGCAGGAGCCCAAAACACATGTTTAACCTCTCCAGTATTCAGCCCATGTGAGTCACATCTAAAATTGTAACAACGGTGAAATGAGTTCCAGGCTGCCCTGATTTACAAATGCTCAGTGCATGAGGAACCCATATAGGACTTGCAAACTGGTGCGTAGCCCACCCACTGCTCCAGTTACCCCTGTGCCCTTGGCCGCTGGTCCAGATTGTTATCTCCCAATAGCCATCTTTCCCTTTTTCTGTAAGTAACAGAAGCTCCCATTTTTAGCTGGGCTCATGTCTGCCTGGATTAAAGGCATTTCCCATCATTTCCCATCATTTTTTGCAGCTAGATATGATTATGTCCATAAGTCTGGCCAGTGGAATCTAAGCAAAATTGTCATGTGTAGTTTTTGGGAAATGTCCTTATATGGAGAGAATGTGCACTTCTTTTTTTTTTTTTTTTTTTTTAAGATTTTATTTATTTGACAGAGAGAGAGACACAGCGAGAGAGGGAACACAAGCAGGGGGAGTTGGGAAAGGGAGAAGCAGGCTTCCCGCCGAGCAGGGAGCCCGATGCGGGACTCGATCCCAGGACCCTGGGATCATGACCTGAGCCGAAGGCAGACGCTTAACGACTGAGCCACCCAGGCGCCCCGAGAATGTGCACTTCTGTGTCCACTTCTCCATCTGAAATGTGGACAAAATGGCTGGAGCTCAGAAGCCATTTTGGGCCATGAGGTGGAACTCACACAGAGGATGGCAGCATAATGACATATTAGGAGCTTGGATTCCTTATGATCTTGGAGCTTCTGTAGCAGCCCTGGACTGCTTATCCATGAACTTCATTTACATGAAAGGGAAATGAATTTCTATATTGTTTTAACCTCCGTTAATGGGTTTCTGTCACTTGCAGCTAAACCTAATCTTCGTATTCCATTTCCTTGAGCCTTCCCACTGTGCATAAGAAGGTTTTCTCATCTCATCTGTGGTGGTCCATCTAGTTTCTGTCCTCTGGGCAGTGGCCTTCTTCATCATTCTCGGCTCCCTAAGCATGTGTTTGAGTCCCCGCCAGTGACCTGTAAGTGCACTCTCTCAACCCCCCTCTGTACTTCTTCACTGCCCCTCTCTGGTTGCGTCCTAGAAGACTGAACTAGGGCCCAGCAGAGGAAGAGGCTGCACAAAGAATTAATTCAGGAGCACCGACTCATGGGGGCATACTCGCTGAAAAGTCATGTCTGACCAAACACAGGATCCCTCCTTGCTCTTCCCTACCTCCTCGCTTCACTTTGTGCCACAAATTTCTTCCATTAGAGCCATTTGAGTTTAAAAGACATATTAGAAATACAAGTAGCCCTGGAGAATGGACTATTTTCCATTTGCGGTTTACTGCAAATTAGTTTAATCCAATTTCTTTTTTAATTCATTCTTCCATTAAACATTCATGAAGAGCCTATTTTATATCCTTTTTAAAAGATTTTATTTATTTATTTTGAGAGAGAGAGCATGCATGTGCCATCCAGGGGAGAGGCAGAGGGAAAGGGAGAGAGGATCTCAAGCAGACTACATGCTGATCAGGGAGGGGAAGTAGGGGCTCAATCCCACCACCCTGAGATCATGACCCGAGATGCAATCAGGAGTCAGAAGCTTAACGTGCAGAGACACCCAGGTGCCCAAGACTATTATCCTAAGAGATGGATAATTTATTATTTGACTGTGCTGGAGATCAGAAGTCTCACACGGTTCTTACTGAACTAAAATCAAGGTGTCAACAGAGCTGGGTTCCTTTGTGGAGATTTGGGGAGAATAATTTCCATACCTATTCTGCTTCTAGAGGCTATAGGAATTCTTTGGCTCCTCTCCCCTTCCTCCATCTTTAAAGCCAACAACGGGGTGGGGGTCGGGGACACTCCCCATTGCATGTTTCTGACCACAGGGGAAAAAGTTTTCTGGGCTTTATGTTCGCAGTCTCAGGCAATTAGATCACTGCCCTCAGCCCCCTTCCACGTATAATCAAAGGTAACAGCCCCACTTCAAGGTGTGTAACTTCAATCACATCTGCAAAGTCACTTTTGCCATGTAAGGTAACACATTTACCGGTTCCGGGACTAGACCATGGATTTCCTTGGGGGCCTTTATTCTGCCCCCAAATCCTTAAATTTACAAGCCCCAAAGCCACTGCCTACGGCCAAATTTCTTAAAATCTTTTTCCTCCCCCACCCACTTCCAAAGGGGCAACCGCTTTTGCACGTCCCTCCTCAATACTCCCCCCGCAAAACTCCGTCACAGGCCCAGCCCTGAGCTGCCTCCTTTATCCCGGCGCTCCCTGCCTCCCGGGCCTGGGAAGGGGGGTGGGGACGCCGGGGCAGGAGAGCTGTCTGCGGGCGGGAGACCCCCGCGGGGTGGGGCGCAGCTACCTGGGGCGACCTCTGCCCCGCGTCCCCCCTGCCCCACTGATGGCCACGCACGCGGGCCCCCCACTTCTGTCTCCTCCTAGACCTCGTCCCTCGCAGCGCCACTGGCTGTGACGACCTCGGTCCGCGGCGGGGACACCAGGAGCTCTCCATGTCCGAGGCCGAGCCCACGCTCCGGAACCCTGGAGGGGCGCTCCTGCCGCCACCCCTCCTCCTCCTCCTCCTCCCGCCACCCCTCCTCCTCCTCCTCCTCCCGCCTCCCCTCCTCCTCCTCCCGCCACCCCTCCTCCTCCTCCTCCTCCCGCCTCCCCTCCTCCTCCTCCCGCCTCCCCTCCTCCTCCTCCCGCCACCCCTCCTCCTCCTCCTCCCGCCTCCCCTCCTCCTCCTCCTCCTCCCGCCACCCCTCCTCCTCCTCCTCCTCCCGTCTCCCCTCCTCCTCCTCCTCCTCCCGCCTCCCCTCCTCCTCCTCCCGCCTCCCCTCCTCCTCCTCCCGCCACCCCTCCTCCTCCTCCTCCTCCCGCCTCCCCTCCTCCTCCTCCCGCCTCCTCTCCTCCTCCTCCTCCTCCCGCCTCCCCTCCTCCTCCTCCTCCTCCCGCCTCCCCCCTCCTCCTCCCGCCTCCCCTCCTCCTCCTCCTCCCGCCTCCCCTCCTCCTCCTCCTCCCGCCTCCCCTCCTCCTCCTCCTCCTTCCGCCTCCCCTCCTCCTCCTCCTCCTCCCGCCTCCCCTCCTCCTCCTCCTCCTCCTCCTCCCGCCTCCCCTCCTCCTCCTCCTCCTCCTCCCGCCTCCCCTCCTCCTCCTCCTCCTCCTCCTCCTCCTCCTCCCGCCTCCCCTCCTCCTCCTCCTCCTCCCGCCTCCCCTCCTCCTCCTCCTCCTCCTCCTCCTCCCGCCTCCCCTCCTCCTCCTCCTCCTCCTCCTCCTCCTCCCGCCTCCCCTCCTCCTCCTCCTCCTCCTCCTCCCGCCTCCCCTCCTCCTCCTCCTCCTCCTCCTCCCGCCTCCCCTCCTCCTCCTCCTCCTCCTCCTCCTCCTCCCGCCTCCCCTCCTCCTCCTCCTCCTCCCGCCTCCCCTCCTCCTCCTCCTCCTCCCGCCTCCCCTCCTCCTCCTCCTCCTCCCGCCTCCCCTCCTCCTCCTCCTGCCTCCCCTCCTCCTCCTCCTCCTCCTCCTCCTCCTCCCGCCTCCCCTCCTCCTCCTCCCGCCTCCCCTCCTCCTCCTCCCGCCTCCCCTCCTCCTCCTCCCGCCTCCCCTCCTCCTCCCGCCTCCCCTCCTCCTCCTCCTCCCGCCTCCCCTCCTCCTCCTCCTCCTCCCGCCTCCCCTCCTCCTCCTCCTCCTCCCGCCTCCCCTCCTCCTCCTCCTCCTCCCGCCTCCCCTCCTCCTCCTCCTCCTCCTCCCGCCTCCCCTCCTCCTCCTCCTGCCTCCCCTCCTCCTCCTCCTCCTCCTCCTCCTCCCGCCTCCCCTCCTCCTCCTCCCGCCTCCCCTCCTCCTCCTCCCGCCTCCCCTCCTCCTCCTCCCGCCTCCCCTCCTCCTCCCGCCTCCCCTCCTCCTCCTCCTCCTCCTCCCGCCTCCCCTCCTCCTCCTCCTCCCGCCTCCTCTCCTCCTCCTCCCGCCTCCCCTCCTCCTCCTCCTCCTCCTCCCGCCTCCCCTCCTCCTCCTCCTCCTCCTCCCGCCTCCCCTCCTCCTCCTCCTCCTCCTCCTCCTCCCGCCTCCCCTCCTCCTCCTCCTCCCGCCTCCCCTCCTCCTCCTCCTCCCGCCTCCCCTCCTCCTCCTCCTCCTCCTCCTCCTCCCGCCTCCCCTCCTCCTCCTCCTCCCGCCTCCCCTCCTCCTCCTCCCGCCTCCTCCTCCCGCCTCCCCTCCTCCTCCTCCTCCCGCCTCCTCTCCTCCTCCTCCCGCCTCCCCTCCTCCTCCTCCTCCCGCCTCCTCTCCTCCTCCTCCCGCCTCCCCTCCTCCTCCTCCTCCTCCCGCCTCCCCTCCTCCTCCTCCTCCTCCCGCCTCCCCTCCTCCTCCTCCTCCTCCCGCCTCCCCTCCTCCTCCTCCTCCTCCTCCTCCCGCCTCCCCTCCGCCTCCTCCCGCCTCCCCTCCGCCTCCTCCCGCCCCGCTCCGCCTCCTCGCGGGCCGCCCTCTCCAGGCCCCGCCCCCCGCCGCGCCCCGGGCCGCCGGTCGCCAAGGAGCAGGGCGCACGCGGGAGGCCGGCCGGCGAGGGACGCGGGGACCCGGCGCCCGAGTGAGTGCGCGGCGCGGGCCGGCGACGAGGTTGCGGGGTGGGTGGCCAGCGTTCTGTCCGGGAGGTACGGCGTTGTTGCGTGCGGCGGCGGTCCCGGAGGAGGGAGCGAAGAGCAGCCCCTCCTTGCCCATCCCGTCCCTCTCCCCCGGGACTCCGAGAAGGCAGGGCCCGCCTACCCCTTCTCGCTGCGCCGCCGTCCTCACCTCAGCGTCCCCAGCTCTCGGAGAGTCGCAGTTAGCAGAGGGTGGGGCACCCGCTCCTTAGGCCTCCACGAAATAATCATCAGTGAACGAGCCAGGCAATGCTGGCCTTGAGCGCCTAGGTAGCTGCTCGCCCGGGCCACACATTACTGTATATGGAAATGACAAAGAAATGCCCATGATAAAATATTAAGTGAAGGGCGCCTGGGTGGCTCAGTTGGTTAAGCGACTGCCTTCGGCTCAGGTCATGATCCTGGAGTCCCGGGATCGAGTCCCGCATCGGGCTCCCTGCTCGGCGAGGAGCCTGCTTCTCACTCTGATCCCCTTCCCTCTCGTGCTCTCTGTCTCTCATTCTCTCTCTCTCAAATAAATAAATAAAATCTTAAAAAAAAAAAAATTAAGTGAAAAGCTCAAGATTGAAGAGGGTCTTAAGAGAGTATTTATAGAACGTTATGCGTGTAGTTTGTGCTCCTGTAAATACCCGGAAAAGGCTGGTGAGAAATACCAGTAATATTACATAGTACCAATCTTAGCTTGGACTGCCTTAACAAAATACCATAGACTGGTGACCTAAACAACAGAGATCCATTTCTTACACTTCTGGAGACTGGGAAATCCAAGAGCAAGGTGACAGTAAGCTAGGTTTGGAGTGTTTCCTCTTGGCTTGGCGGTAGCAGCCATTCTCAAGAGACAAAATAAGTTCTCTGGTGTCTCTTTTATTTTAAAGATTTTATTTACTTATTTATTTATTTAGAGAAAGTGTGCGAGTAAGGGTAGGGGCAGAGAGAGAGAACGTCAAGCGGACTCCAAGCTGAGCGTGGAGCCCGATTTGGGGCTCAGTCTCATGACCCTGAGATCATGATTTGAGATCATGATCCGAGGTCATGACCTGAGGTGAAATCAAGAGTTGGTCACCCAACCCACTGAGCCACCCAGGAGCCCCACTCTGTGTCTCTTCTTATAAGGGCACTGATCGCATGGTGGGAGACCTGCCTTCATGACCTCATCTAACCCTGATCACCTCCCAAAGGCCCCATGTACAAATACTATCACACTGGGGGTTGGGCTTCAACAAAAGAATGTGGGGGGAGGGGGAGACGAAAACATAGAGTCTGTAGCAGTACCTTCTAGGTGGTACTTTAGAGTGGTTAAGAATTTGGGCTGTAGAGCCAGGCTGCCTGAATTGGAATCCCAGCTGCACCTGTTACCAGTGTTTGCCCTTAGGCAAATCACTTCCCTCACTAGGCCTCAGCTTCCCCACCTGAGCATTCATTCTGTTCCAGGCTCTGTTCCAAGTATCCATCAGGTACTAATTCATCATTCCTCATAACAATTATTTATCATCATCATCATCCATCATCATCCCCATGTTACTGAGGAAAATACTTTACATTTAATTTGCATTCAATTCTCACAAATACCAAAGAGGTTATAGTCCCCATTTTTACAGACGAAGAAAACAGGGTTCGGGGAAATGAAGTTGATTACCCACAGTCAGTCTACTAATAATTGACAGACACAGAATTCAAACTGGTTCCTCTTGAAACAAGGTCTCTTAATAATTCCCATAAACCTTTGTGAACCCAGTTCAGAGACCCAAAAATTACCTTAAGTTATTGTAACCAAACCAATATGGGTTTTTAGCTCCTTGGTGAGTCACAGATACACCAGGTGGAGTTGTTCCACAAAGTAAACTTTATTTGCAGCAAATAAGGAAATCACAGGAAATAGTTTTCAAAGCCAGACGAGAGAGAGAGAGAGAGAGAGAGAGAGAGAGAGAGAGAGAGGGTTCCTTTTGTTTAGGGGTAAGATGAATATTTAGATAGGAAGGCCTTGTCATCGTATGTAGAGGTGGGCATAAGGTCATGCATGTACCTTAAGGAAACATGCCTATACATACGTTGTATGTTATGTAAATGAGGCTCTTCCTTGGGAGGAGATTTTAATATTATAATGAGGCAAAGGTCATTGCCAGTCATTCCAGAGGTCACTGCCCCCTCCATCTGAGCTAAAGTGAGTCTGGGAGGGAGTTTAGCTCAAGGGAGGGAGTTTAGCTCAAACAGTCTCGGTGATCTGGGAGGTGTTGTCCGGGCTGTAGCCATCCCCTGAGGGTGGTTTCAGGTTCCCTTCGCCTGAGTTAAGAGGTAAGCCGGAAAGAAGAGCTTAAAGAAAAATGTAAAACAAAGGTTAGTGAGTATAAGCATGTGGGCAATGAAGGTCAGGTCTTGGGATCTACCTGGTGACATTATCACATGGGGAAACCTTTCAAGGCTGGATAATGGAAGGGACAAATCAGTACTGATTGGGTGATTTCCTGTGGCCAGCAAAATAATAATCTCAATAGTACTAATAAAGTTGATTGAGCACTTTTACTGTGTGCCAGGCATTGTGCTAAGTGCTTTATAAATTTACCTTCCTTAATCCTGGTGATAACCATAATCCATTTTACAGATGGAGAAACAGAGGCTTGCAAAGTCTTCACAGAATACCTCAGGCCACCCAGGTGAGTCAAATGGTGGAGACAAGACTAAGATCCAGGTCTGTTCCCCTTTGAAGCTCACGTTCTTAACCACTGTGGATATGCTGCCTGGCAAGAATTATGTCTATAAAGAAAACTATGCCATTTTAAAATAATATGTCTTTGGTAATATTTAGTGCCCACCATTAATGTTAATTGTATTCCTTTATAATGGAGTTCCAAGGGTACTGCCCCATTTTAAAGAATCTGAAGGAACACGGATCCATGAATATAGAGACTGGAAATTGAACAGTTCTGCTCAACTGTCTCCATCTTGATTCCCTACTCCCATTTTAAGATAACATGAGGCACTTTAAGGTTTTCAGAGAAGGGCGTGCAGCAATATTTGCCAATTTTTAGTGGGGGAAGTGTGATCTGCTCCTTAAAAAGACATCTGTGTATTGGGTTTCAGGGCAAGGTACTATTTTCAGAATCCAGCTGGAATCTCACACAGTAAAACAATGTCAAGAGAAAAGGAAGGAAAACAAAAAACTAAAGGAACACCCCTGCCCATCGTTCCAATTCTTCAAAAGTTCCTGAAAACATACGAGAAGCACTGCGCCCAGACGCAGACATCTGTGTGTCCAGCCATCAAACAGGACTTGAAAACCAGCATCAACAACGAACAGATTCTCAGGAAAGTGAGTGTGTGGCCTCCTTTGCTTATTCTTCTCTGAAGTGAACTGACTAGGCTTTAGCCCCGAGCAACACGGGTCCTCAGACAAGGTGCTCTCTGCGTTCTTGCCTGCCTGAAGCCCAAAGCCTGCCTCTGGCCCTTGGGGCTCTGCTCAGCACTTCTACCTCCCTGTTCCTACCTCCGAATCTCCCCCTCCCAGTCCTTCCAGCAGGCCTGCCTTTTCTCACACCCCGCTTCACATCTGGAATAGCCAACCCGCCCCTCCCACTCTACCTCTGGAAAGCTCTGCTCAAAGCACCACTTTGGGCATCATTGCAGGACATCTGTGCCCAGCACGCCCGCCACCCCACGGGACCCCTCCACATGAATGTTTGCTTCCCTTGACAGCTCCTATGTCCGTGTCATCAGGCCAGGAACCCCCCTCCCCCGCACTCACCCACGCTTCCCCCTCACTTGGAGCGAGGTCAGTAAACACAATTCTGACTCCCAAAGTACAGGATTTCAGAAAAAAAAAAATCAGATGTCATATCTTTTCTGAGATTAAATCTAGGGATCGCTTGTAAGGTCAAGAAGAGAGGCCAGCACTGAAACTAAATGGTCTACTCTTGCAAAGGGGCACCTGCTAGTCCAGAAGGTGGGGCCTTGCCCCCAAGGGCAGACTGTCCTGCTCTCCAGCTTTTCTATGGCCAGCCCAGAAAGACAGTTTGTGTTTTAATAACCAAACACCTACTGATTTTCTAAAATGCTGAGTGCTAAACAAGAGAATAAATTAATTAGAGATGGGTGCTTAAAAATAATCATTATTCTAAGGTGATTTTGACCCAAATCCATCCTACCCTTATTTTTCCTGAATGTTTTTTGGGGATGGGAGGATGATTACATTGTACCCCACGTAAAAAGAACCGCTGAAAGTCTTCCCTAACCATCTCTTTTGCCCAAACTTCCACTCCCCAGGCAGCTGCCTCTCTCCTCTTGCCCCTTTGGTCTTTCCCTAGCCACCTCTCCTAGTCTCCTGTCCCCTCTGCCCTCCTGGGTCTTTCTGTTTTGTTTGTTTTTTTTAAAGATTTTATTTATTTATTTGACGGAGAAAGACACAGCGAGAGAAGGAACACAAGGGGAGTGAGAGAGGGAGAAGCAGGCTTCCCACTGAGCAGGGAGCCCGATGTGGGGCTCGATCCCAGGACCCTGGGATCATGACCTGAGCCGAAGGCAGACGCTTAATGACTGAGCCACCCAGGCGCCCCTCCTAGGTCTTTCTAATTCCTTCTCTTGTAGTTAGTTGCTTCTCTGGACTCCTCCATACATCTCCCTGCTCATAAGACTATACGGGCTGTTTATGTTGGGTGGGTTGCTTTGGTTGGGTCTCTTTTGATTTTGAGCATCGCTAAAATAAAAGTCTCATGAGACAATTATTTTTTACTGCATAGGATACACTCAGATAATTTTTCTTCTTTTCTATTTCATTAGAGAAAGAAAGAAAAAAGCTGGTTAAAACCTACTCAATTGGGGGCGCCTGGGTGGCTCAGTCGCTTAAGCAACTGCCTCCAGCTCGGGTCGTGATCTCAGGGTCCTGGGATCGAGCCCCGCATCGGGCTCCCTGCTCCACGGGAAGCCTGCTTCTCACTCTCCCACTCCCCTGCTTGTGTTCCTTCTCTCTCTGTCAAATAAATAAATAAAATCTTTAAAAAAAAACCAAAAACAAAAAACCTACTCAATTGATTTCCTGACCCAATAATGAGTAGTAACCTGATGGAAAAATCTGTGCCCTATAAGATTGCCTTTGCATATGGCAAGAACTTCATAAGTTTGTATTGAATTACCTCCCCAATGCACATGTGATCCAAAGTTAATTACCTTTTCAAATGTTCTAATGTTGTCTGATGACATTATTCTTTCTCTACGCATACAGATGCGTGGACATCTCTTTATGATTCCCACCTGTACTTTTTTTCTGACACTCCAGTTTATGCTTGTAAGACCTGAAGACTCTCCGACAAGCATCCTACCGATTTCCTTAGAACCTTTGCTCATGACAATTCGAGATGAGTGTTATATGCTGGGGAAAGAGATCTGTATCTGGAGCCTTCAACTGAGCAATCCAGAGACTGCCAGACTGGTGAGTCATGCATTTTAGATGTATTCCTTCAATTCAACTTAAAATTGAATATAAACATAATATGTATTCCAGCTGTAGTTCATTTGGTTATGATAATGCTCCAAGCTTTTCTTTTTTAAAAAAACAATGTATTTTTTAATGAAACATTTCAAAGTTATGTAAAAGTACAAAAAACAATAAAGGAATTATGGTATATTCATATAGTAGAAAACTCTATAGGTGGCTCAGTCAGTTAAGCATCTGACTCTCGATTTCAGCTCAGGTCATGATCTCAGGGTCATGGGATGGAGTCCCACGTCGGGCTCCACGCTCAGTGTGGAGTCTGCTTGTCCCTCTCCCTCCCCCTGCTTGTGCTCTCTCTCTCTCAAATAAATAAATAAAATCTTTAAAAACAAACTATATAGTAATGAAAATGCATCAACTATAGCTACACAAAAATAAAATATGACTCATAAAAACATAATGTTGTACAAAGAGAGACACAAAAGATTACATACCGTATGTTGCATTTACAAAGTAAAAAACAGGTAAAACTATCATGTTTGATTATCATAAAATTACTTTTAGGGAAAAGGGAGGAGTACTGGGAGAGGGCATTAGTGCCCATTTTTCTAGTTTCTTGCTGTTTAAAAATCCCTTGTTTTATTTCATTGAATGTGTTAAACTTATCCTATAATCTGTGTCTAATAGTTTCAATAAACTAAATTATTTTGGAGTCTGATATTACTGACTCTTGCTTCTACTGGCTCTTACTCATGGAACATTTCTTTGTGTGTTTTTGTGATTTCTTTTGTACTGTAAACTTTTATTTCCTAGGAAATAGTTGAGGCAATTCCTTGAGATCTGATTTGAAGACAGCATTCTTTTTTTAAGATTTTATTTATTTGTCAGAGAGAGAGGGCACATGAGAGAGAGCACAAGCAGGGGGGAGCGGCAGGCAGAGGGAGAAGCAGACTCCCTGCTGAGCAGGGAGCCAGATGTGGGGCTCAATCCCAGGACCCTGGGATCATGACCTGAGCTGAAGGTAGACGCTTAACTGACTAAGCCACCCAGGTGCCCTGAAGATAGCATTCTCCAGGGAAGATTTGCATTTGCTTCGCCCTCACACTCAGGGTGCTACCATCTCAGGGCTATGTTAAATTAAATTCTTGATCTGAGGGCTCTTTGAACCATCCAGGTGGTATGAATTCAGGGTGCAATTACCTATATTAAGACTAGCTTGTGAGTTCACAGGGGATATATATTTTTTTCCTGTGTACTCAGTCTCAGTTTGAGATAGTCAGTTTTCCCTGGGGAAGGGAGAGTTGGATTTATTTCTAGTTCATCCTTACTCTAAGGGCATAGTGCTATAGCTCATTCTGTTTTGAGCCACACCTGTATGCAGTATTTTCTCTTAGACTCCTCACCTCCAGTGATCTTGGGCTTTACTGTCCCCTGGACTGCAAGATCCATGAAAAGCAAAACTCAACTCCCTGCTTTACCGGTGCTCTCAAAGGAAAAGCTGGCTTCAGTGCCCTGCGGACCGTTCTAGGTTACCACTCTCCCACGTGCATTGATCTTTGGGTATTCCTCACTGTCCTGCCAATCAACACATTTTAAAAAGATATTTTTTTTTTTAAAGATTTTATTTAGGGGCACCTGGGTGGCTCAGTTGGTTAAGCGACTGCCTTCGGCTCAGGTCATGATCCTGGAGTCCCGGGATCGAGTCCCGCATCGGGCTCCCTGCTCGGCAGGGAGTCTGCTTCTCCCTCTACCCTCCCCCCTCTCATGCTCTCTGTCTCTCATTCTCTCTCTCTCAAATAAATAAATAAAATCTTAAAAAAATAAAAAATAAAAAAAATAAAGATTTTATTTAAAGAAATAAAAAATAAAAAAAATAAAGATTTTATTTAAAGAAATAAAAAATAAAAAAAATAAAGATTTTATTTATTTATTTGAGAGAGAGAGAGAATGAGAGAGAGCACATGAGAGGGGGGAGGGTCAGAGGGAGAAGCAGACTCCCTGCTGAGCAGGGAGCCCGATGTGGGACTCGATCCCGGGACTCCAGGATCATGACCTGAGCCGAAGGCAGTCTGTTAACCAACTGAGCCACCCAGGCACCCTTAAAAAGATATTTTTAAAACTCTTAAAAGAAAGCATAAAGGAAAAGCCTCATGATGTTGGATTTGGCAATGATTTCTTATATAAGACAGTAAGAACTCAGGCAACAAAAGAAAAACTAGATGGTTTGGACAACATCAAAATTTAAAACTTCTGTGCATCAAAAGACATACTTAATTAAGTGAAAAAGCAACCCATAAAATAGGGGACAGTAATTGCAAATCATATATTTGATAAGGGGTTAATATCCAGGATACATAAAGAACTCCTACAATTCAACAACAACAAAAAACAAACAACCTAATTTAAAAATGGGCAAAGGACTTAAGTAAACATTCTCCAAAGAAGGTATACAAATGAATAATAAGCACACAAAAGATGTTCAACATCAGTAATCTTTAGGGAAATGCAAATCAAAACTGCAATGAGATACTACCTCATGTCAACTACTATCAAAAAAAGCAGAGGGCGCCTGGGTGGCTCAGTCATTGGGCATCTGCCTTCGGCTCAGGTCATAATCCCAGGTCCTGGGATCGAGCCCCGCATCGGGCTCCCCGCTCCACGCAGAGCCTGCTTCTCCCTCTCCCACTCCCCCTGCTTGTGTTCCCTCTTTCGCTGTGTCTCTCTCTGTCAAATAAATAAATAAAATCTTAAAAAAAAAAGGACAGAAAATAATGTGTTGACAGGACATGGAGAAATTGGAAAACCTGTACACTATTGGTGGGAATGTAAATTGGTGTAGCCACCATGGAAAACAGGATGGAAGTTCCTTAAAAAAATTAAAAATAGAATTACCATATGATTCAGCAATTCCACTTCTGGGTATCTACCCAAAAGAATTGAAAGCCAGATCTCAAAGAGATATCTGTACACTCATCTTCATGGTAGCATTATTCACAACAGCCAAAGGTGGAAGCAATCCAAATGTCCATTAACAGATGAGTAGAGCGCGCCTGGGTGGCTCAGTTGGTTAAGCGACTGCCTTCGGCTCAGGTCATGATCCTGGAGTCCCGGGATCGAGTCCCACATCAGGCTCTCTGCTCAGCAGGGAGTCTGCTTCTCCCTCTGACCCTCCCCCCTCTCATGCTCTCTCTATGTCATTCTCTCTCAAATGAATTAAAAAAAACAAAAAACAAAACAGATGAGTAGAAAACAAAATGTGGGATATACATACAATAGAATATTATTCAGCCTTTAACAGGAAGGAAGTTGTGACATATGCTACATGTATGAACCTTGAGGAACTTCTGCTAAGTAAGATAAGTCAATCACAAAAGAACAAATCCTCTATCATTGTATTATAGGAAGTACCTAGGGTAGTAAGACTCATAGAGAAAGAAAAGAATATGGCGGTTGCCAGACGTGGGGGAGAGGAGAATGGGAGTTATTTTTTACTGGGTGCAGAGTTTGAATTTTACAAGATGAAAAAAGTTCTGGAGATGGATGGTGTTGAGGGTTGTACAACAGTATGAATGTACTTAATGCCATTGAACTGTGCCCCTAAAAATGGTTAAGATGGCAAATTCTTTATGTGTATTTGACCACAATTCAAAATAAATTTTAAAAAGGTATCTTTAATGCATAACCAGAATTTTTAGTTGTTTTAATTTATTAAAAGTGTCAGTCAGGGTACCCAGTCCATTTAAGCAGGCCATAGAATGCTGTCCAGGCATATTAAAAGCGATCCTTAATAGTTCTTTAAAATGTAGCCCTCTTGGTCACCTGGAGGCTGTTAAGGAATTCTGTGGTCGATGGCTGTGGTCTTGCCCACAGCAGTGTTAGTGCCCCAGGGAATGACACTGCAAACCACTGGTTGAGATTGTTAGGTCCTGGGTTGAGAGCCAGTTTTGCACAGACCAGCGTGACCAGAGGCGGTGACGTGCCACATTGCCTCCTCTGTCAGAAACGCAGCTTGCGAGCTCCAATCCAGCACTTTAACGAGGTGTTTTCTCATAAAAGAGACCTCAAATGCCAGCTCTGTAGTTAAGGCTGCAAGGGCTCTTATATTCTCAGCCAAGCTATAATTTGGAACCCTATCTCTGACCAACATGTCATTGCCTCAGGAAACCCTAAATCCTCCAAACCCCACCGAAGCCTCTTTAAGGTTTAAATTCTGAACTGAAGAAATCCTTAGGTTGTGGTGATTCTAATTGCTGAAAGGTGGCCTTTGTGATTTGTAGCTTTAAATACCTCCTTCTGTCAATTAGGTAGGGATTTAATTGTCACTGGGATCCTTTGTTACCGCAAGAAATGACCTTGCCATAGACCCCTCCATTCAGGAGACTGAGAGAACTTGACATGGTTCCAAATGTTCATGTATTGCCCCCAGTCCTGCGGCTTCACCATGAGAATCACCTCGTTGCTGAATTTGTATGGTCCAGTTCTTTTTTTTTTTTTAAGATTTTATTTGAGAGAGAGCGAGAGTGTGCGACTAAGGGGAGGGACAGAGGGAGAAGGAGAGAAGCAGACTCCCTGCTGAGCACAGAGCCTGACATGGGGCTTGATCCCAGGACCCCAAGACCATAACCTGAGCCAAAATCAAGAGTCTGATACTTAACCAAGTGAACCACCCATGCGCCCTTGCCTGGCCTTGTTCTGAGCGGACCTCTATATGCTCTAAATCTTAATACCTGTAACAATGAATGTAAGTTACTTAGGAGGTAATTTAACTATTATAATTTTTGCCTAGCTATACGAAAGTTGGCGTGATGATACTTCTCTATTGAAAAGAACACAGCTGGGCGCCTGGGTGGCTCAGATGGTTAAGCGTCTGCCTTCGGCTCAGGTCATGATCCCAGGGTCCTGGGATCGAGTCCCACATCGGGCTCCCGGCTCAGTGGGGAGCCTGCTTCTCCCTCTGACCCTCGCCCCTCTCATGCTATTTCTCTCTTGCTTACTCTCTAAAAAATAAATAAAATCTTAAAAAAAAAAAAGAAAAGAAAAGAACACAACCCTAGGAGGATAAATTTGTGGGTTAGAATATCACCATCTGTGTTAGCCTGGGTGGGCTGCCATAACCAAGTGCCACACGTTACACGGTTTAAACAACAGAAATTTATTTCCTCACAGTTATGAAGGCTTGGAAGTCTGAGCTCAAGGTGTCAGCCAAGTTGGTGTCTTCTGGGCCAGCCCCTAATAACATCTAAAAAGAGATGCTCATCTCATCATAAAGCTTGGTGTTTCCCATTTAATTCTTCACAGTCGTCCTTTTAAAGGGCAGTTATTTTATTTTTTCTTTTATTTTCATGCCACTTTCTCCTTGGGGGAATTAGAAAGTTGTCTTAAAGGCAAAACTGTTGGGGTGATGAACATAATGGGCTTTTAGGTTACATGAGAACACAGCGTATTTGTCTCCCTTGCGTGAGCATGGTTTCACCTCACGTTCGTAGGCTTCGCTTCTGGAGTTGAAGGGCCGTGCCGCCTGCCCATTTACCAGCCTGGAGCTCCTTGACTGTAGGATGGATCTGTGGTCTCTCGGGAGACTCGGGAGGGCTCTGCCATGCAGCTGTCTGCGTTCTCTCGTCCTCGATTACTGCAGGTGAGGCTGGAATGCGGGGTTCCTTCAGGGCCCCTGCTGCTGTCTGCTGAGGGAGGCAAAGGCAGGGAGGGCGGTGGCCTGGTTCCTTGCGCCTCTTCAAGTCATCGCTGAAAGGGGACACTCCAAAACCTCCTTAGAGCTAATGTTGCCGAGTGAATGTCAGGGTTCTCAAAAAGAGGCTTTTTTCATTCATTTATCCATCCATCCTTCCCTTCCTTCCTCCCCTTCTTCTTCCTTCCTTCCTTCCTTCCTTCCTTCCTTCCTTCCTTCCTTCCTTCCTTCCTTCCTTTTTATTCATTTATTCTGTCAACAAATATTTGTCAATGGCCTCTTGGTGTAAGACACTGTGCTCTTTGCTAAGGAAGATACACATATATAAGGCAATGCCACTGAGCAAGGAAGTCCTTGATATAGTAGAGGAGAGGCGACATGCTCTAGGTTACATGTAACGCAAGGTAGAAAGCCTGAATGTCACAAAAAATGTCCATGTAAATTTTAGTGGTTTGGTTAAGGGGAACCATGATCCCCTATGGGACAGGCCATTATTCACCAGGAGCGGAGGTGGGAGGACAGGTGTGGTACTAGGGGAAAGAGCCAGTCTTTCAGAGGGCTGTGGCACCAGGCTGTCAGGGGAGGGTCAGGGGTAATAATAATGATGATAATATCAGCTGTGTGCCAAGCTGTGTGCATGGTTTATCTCATTTATTCTCCCAACAACAGAGAGATATGTACCATTACGTATGGATGTAGGATATATAATGACAGATATGTACCATTTCCATCCTTTGATTCTATATAGCTGAGGAAAGACTCAAGGGGATTAACTGGCTTGTTCAAGGCCATTCAGCTCTTAGGGATGGAGCCTAGATGTGAATCCAGCCATCAGAATCCGAGCCCACTTCTGATCTGTGATACTAGATTGCTGGGGGGTCTATAGTGTGATCCATAAATACTTTCAACCTGCTTGTGTGATGTGGGACAAGTCATGCAACCTCTCTGATCTATGAGATGATCTCTTCCACTTCTCAGGTCTTTGATTCTGAGACTCTTCCCCTGGAGCCTGGTGCTACCTTATACTCAGAAGGCCAGTGGGCTGTGAGGTGAAAGAGCTGATTCATGCCTGGGAAGTGGTACCACAGCAACACGAAGACCCCATTAAGGAGCGAGGGTTTTATTAGGGCCCTGGTGGTGACAGTGGACAAGTCTTTCAGCAAAAGCTGGGGAGAGGGACTGTCTCTGGAGGTTCTCTGTGTTTCTGAGGTGCTTGGAGGAGCCTCAGTCAGGGTTTCCTAACACACGGCACAGAAACCCAGTGTCCTCAGGATACCCTGCAGTGACTGAGGATCAGCCTGGGAGTCTCCCAGCTTCCCACACTGCACTGGGCAGAACCAGCCCCCCTGCTGAGACCCTTCTGGACTCCAGCTCCTGCGCTGGACCCAGAGACCTGCACTGGCAGGAAGACAGAAGGAAGAAAAAAGGAATCCCCATTGTTAGGAAACAGCTTACTTTATTTTTTTTTTAAAGATTTTATTTATTTATTTGACAGAGAGCGAGCACAAGCAGGGGGAGGGGTAGAGGCAGAGGGAGAAGCAGGCTCCCCACTGAGCAGGGAGCCTGACATGGGGCTCGATCCCAGGACCCTGAGATCATGACCTGAGCTGAAGGCAGACCCTTAACCGACTGAGCCACCCAGGTGCCCCCACAGCTTACTTTATTTTTAAAAGATTTTATTTATCTGTTTAGAGAGGGGGGGAGGGGCAGAGGGGGAGGGAGAGAGAGAATCTCCAGCAGACTCTGTGCTGAGCCAGGAGCCCACCACAGGGCTCCATCTCAGGACCCTGAGATCATGAGCTGAGCCAAAATCAAGAGTTGGATGCTTACCCGACGGGGCCACCCAGGTGCCCCAGGAAATAGCTTATGTTCATTGTCCGTTGAAATCATGCTATTGCCAAGACACCTAGAGTTGTCAGGGTTGGGTGGTTGGGAGTCACCACTGAGACCTCAACACTGGTAAAATTGCAGGCTACCAGCCTCTGGGGACTTCCCTCCGCTTTTCGCTGTGAGGCTGTGAGGTCCAGCAGGCAGGATGCCCTTCTTTCTCATACACAGCTGCATCCCCACACCCACCACAGTAGCCGCCTTCGGTAAGCACTTGTTGGCTGAACTAGTAAATTTTAAGGAGTTCTTTCTGTTAATACGACGCACCTCATTTGAAAGTTCAGCCACTGACATTCCGAATTCCCTGAAAACATCCCTCTGCCTCACTGTTGCTCAGTTTCCTGTCCCCAGAGCTGTGTTGGCGTGATGCCTGCAACTTCTCTTTGCAAAGTCGAAGGACTAGGTGATACAAGGCGAGGAGCAGCTCAGGGACAGGAAGGAGGGCCAAGAGGCTGAACTTTCCTGAAACCTGCTCTGGACGTACTTTAAAGGCTCCTTACGCAGGCTCCTACCACTGGGATCTTCCCAGACCCTTTCATCCTGGCCAGCTGGGCAATCTCTCCTGTCTTCAGGATCCAGAGCTTGCTCTCTATCTACTCCCTTGCATGGGTACTTCAAACCATGTTCTGCTCCCTTTGCCCGGGAGGCAGATTCCGGGTCCCCCTTCCTCCACATGCAGGCTGCCCTCCTCAGTCACCCAGCTCACCCCCATAGCCCACCCTGGCCATGGAAGCTCATAGTATGGATCGGTAAAAATCTGAGCTGTCCTAGGGAGTCCCTTAAAATGAATAATCCAACAGGTGACATAGGTTTTAAAAGTCACTAATTTGTTCCCATCATTTCTTTTTAGATTTGGAAATGAAGAAATTGAGAGTATTTTCTCGGGCCTGGAGAACAACCAAAGGCTTCAAACCCTCAGTCTGCGCTACTGTGGTCTGGGACCACAGAGTGGGCCACGGCTGGGCGCCATCATATACCAGAGCTCCATTTGGTGAGATGCATCCCCTGCTCGCCCCCTGCCTCTGGCTCTGTTCTGTCTTGAGTTATATAACCAGCTGAATTACAAAACCCATTAACCCATGATTTCCCCTGACTTTTCACTACTTTAGTTATTTTGTTTTCTTTTTCTTAATTATAAGAGAAAGATCCTTTAGTTACATTAGTTACCCACAAGGGTATCATGCTATACGCATGTTTTTGGCCTGATGTCATGGTCACTAGGTCTATTTTTTGCAATATGGTCTGTTATCTATTATGATTATTTATTAGTATATAACTAGGTCTATTATTTTATGAGGTGAAGACCTCAAATCCAAATTTGCGGAAGTGAAAATAACATCGAATGTACAATGTATTTTACCCCTCCCCAGCAAGCTGCACCTTGATGGCAATTACTTACAGTGTTCTGGAGCTCTGACGCTCCTCAGACCCATAGCCGAGTATGCAAAGACACAGGGGAGAGACCAGCCGGCCACATCCCCACCAGACCCCAGGAGTCCCCCGCAGCAGCTGCAGGGTAAGTGCCAGGGACCTGTGCCCTACACTCTTTGGGGCTACCTATAAGACAGAAATGGCTTTGCGTTTAAAAATGGCCTTCCCTGTGGCCAGTGGAAATTCTTCTTGCTGAGTATGAATGAGAGCAGAATATTGGACCCCCCGCAATGTCTTTGTCCTGATCCTCAGAACTGGTGATTATATTACCTCACATGGCAAATGGAACTGTGCAGATATGATAAAATTAAGGGCCTTGAGATGGGGCTTTATCCTGGATTCTCTGGATAGGTCCAGTGTCATCACAGGATCTTTGCAAGAGGGGGGCAGGAGGGTCAGAGCCAGAGAGATGGAGATGTGACCATGGAAGGAAAGGTTGGAGGGATGCGAGGAAGGGGCCAGCAGCCAAGGAATATAGGTGGCCTCGAGGAGCTGGAAAGGGCAGGGCAAGGAATTCTTCCGCAGAGCCACTAAAAGACACATAGTCCACCAATGCCTTGACTGTGAGACACATTTTGGACTTCGGACCTCCAGATCTGTAAGGTCATAGCCTTGTATCGTTTTTAGCGACTAAGTTTAAGGTCATTTGTTATAGCAGCAGTGGGGAACTAAGACAACATGTTAATCAGAACTCTTCAGTTAAAAGTGAAAGCAACCCAAACAGAATTCAAGGTTAATAGGGGCTTATTGGTTCACATAACTGAGATGTCCACAGCTGTCTTCAGAGATAGCTGAATTCGGGGGCTCATGCGACGTCATCAGGAGACCCTGAGTTTGCTGCTCTTCACTCGACTTCCCTTCCGAGGTGGGCCTTCTCTCCCAGTGCAGTCAGCCTTCCTCCAGGCAGGAAAGAGCAGTGGACACGTCTGTCAGCAGTCCCAGGGCTATATCATCGTGACTTCCAATCAGCCAGGAAGTGTGAGCCTCTGTCTCCCAGTGACTGTGGGTCAAATCCCCCCGGGAAAGGCTCTCTCTGGCCCTCCCTGGGTCACATACATACCTCTCAGACCAGTCCCTACAGCCCCGGATGTGCTAAACCGTAATTGGCCAGGACTGATCACACACCCCGCTGGGGGAGGAGTGGAGCATTCTGATGGGCAGCCAAACCAGAGCCCCATGATTTGCTGGGGAGCAAAGTGGCAGCCCCTCAAAGAAGTAAACCGATGAGAAGGACAGATAAAGGACGGACAAGAACAACAGCTGCTTACTCCCTTATAAAAGGCTTACTTATCCATTTTTTTTTAAGATTTTATTTTTATTTATTTGACAGAGACACAGCAAGAGAGGAAACACAAGCAGGGGGAGTGGGAGAGGGAGAAGCAGGCTTCCTGCTGAGCAGAGAGCCTGATGTGGGGCTCGATCCCAGGACCCTGGGATCATGACCTGAGCCGAAGGCAGCCGCCTAACTGAGCCACCCAGGCGCCCCAAGGCTTATCCATTTTTTTAATAGATCCCTAATACACATGTTTATGGCACATTTTAAAGCTGACTACTTTTAATCACTGTTAGCAGAAACTATAGAAAGTGGCTAATAGCACAGACTTAGAATCAGGTCTGGGTTCAAATCCTACCCCAGCTGTGCATTAATTTGGGCAAATTTTCAAATTGATCTAACTTTAGCGTCTTGAGCTACAAAATAAACATAGCTACCTCATAGTGTTTAGTGAGAAGGAAGTGGTGTAATGTGATGCAGTTAGCATGATGCCTGGCACATAGAAAGTACTTGAGGGACATTAATTATCATCATTACCATCGTCATTATTAATATAACAACAACCCTTTCCCAGGAGAGTAAACTTGAGGCATGTTGGTGAACACAGTCACTCTACTTGCTGGAAAAAATGAAGATAAAGAGCTCAAGGCTAATGTGCAACATGGGGACCACTGTTAAATATACTGTATTTTATATTTGGAAGTTGCAGAAGGGCGCCTGGCTGGCTCAGTTGCATGTGACTCTTAATCTCAGGGGTTGTAAGTTCGAGCCCCATGTTGGGTGGAGAGATTACTTAAAAAATAAAATCTTCAGGGCGCTTGGGTGGCTCAGTTGGTTAAGCGACTGCCTTCAGCTCAGGTCATGATCCTGGAGTCCCAGGATCCAGTCCCGCATCGGGCTCCCTGCTCAGCAGGGAGTCTGCTTCTCCCTCTGACCCTCCTCCCTCTCATGCTCTCTGTCTCTCATTCTCTCTGTCTCAAATAAATAAATAAAATCTTAAAAATAAAATAAAATAAAATAAAATCTTCAAAAGAACAAGTTGCTGAAAGAGTAGATCTTAAAAGTTCTCATCACAAGAAACAAAATTTGTGACCATGTGTTGTGATGGACGTTAACTAACTTACAGTGGTGAACATTTCACAATATATACAAATATCAAGTCATTATGTTGTATGCCTGAAACTAATATAATGTTACATGTTAATTTTATCTCAATCAAAAAAGAATTCACTGACTTGTGCTATTAAAAAAGAAAGAGCTGAAGTCAAGGCTACTTTGTGGAAGTGAGTGCAAAGAACTATGAAAGATTTGTAAATAACAAGAGTTATCCTCCATTTAGGAACCTTCCTGGTATCAGAATTCTATAGGTTATTTGTTGAATTTGATATTTCAATCAACCCAATAAATATACAAAAGGAAGCTGGAAAACAATGTTTGCTATCCAAATACGACTTTCCCTCTGCTATTTCTATCACTAATCTTGTAAAAAGCCACAGTCCTATTTATGAAGTCCTATATTGTAATTTCAGGACCGAAATAACCAAGTGAATCTCTGATTTTTAAGAAAAATAATTGGAGGGGTGCCTGGGTGGCTCAGTTGATTAAGCACCTGACTTTGGCTCAGGTCATGATCTCAGGGTCCTGGGATCGAGCCCCTGCCCCCCACCGCCTTCAGCAGGGAGTCTGCTTGTCCCTCTGCCCCTCCCCCCACGTGTGTGTGTGTGTGCGCGCGCGCACGCACACACGCTCTCTCCCACTCTCTCGAATAAATAAATCTTAAAAAAAAAAAGAATTGGCAATATAAAAGCAGTGTCTCAAGGGATTGGTATGTGGCAGGCAAGACCAGGTGTGAGGTGTGGGATTGGAAAGAAAAAGAAGTGACAAGGACGTGGGGAGGAAACGTGGAGGTCTTCTATTCTGTTTGTTCTAAGTGCGTTCTGCCCAAAGGAGCATGAAAGCTTGATTTTAAGGGTTCTGGATTTGATTTCCCAGAGAGCCAAACAAGCGAGGGTCAGCGCCGACCTCAGCACGCGCCTGCCCTGTCATTCTTCACAGCCCCCCGGGACAGGGTGGAAAAGCTGCCCCAGCTGCCCTGAGCCCTGTGGTCAGTGGTCAGCACACACAACCTCTTAGAAGTTCCTCTTCTTATTCATTCACTTGAACCTTGATTTTTAGGCAGGTCAGCTGGTACATTGTAGCTCTTCTGCATTCTTTTGGGGACCTGTATTAGTCTGCGCTGGCTGCCGTAACAAAACAACATAGGCTGGGTGGCTTAAACAGACTTATTTTTGCCAGTTCAGGAAGCTAGAAGTCCCAGATCAGACAGCGTGCTAGCGGATTCTGTTCCTGGTGAGAGCTCTCTTTCTGGCCTGAAGAGGGCGCCCTCCTGCTGTGTCTTCACGTGGCCTTTCCTAGGTGTGTGTAAGCCTAGGGAGACACAGATCGCTCTAATAAGAACACTAATCCTTTCTGATCAGGGTCCCACCCCTATGACCTCCTGTCACCTTAGTTACTTCCTTAGGGGCCCCATCTCTAAAGACGGCCACACTGGGGACTCAACATATGAATATTTGGGGAATACAAACATGTAGTCCATACTGGTAACATACATACCTGCACAGAGTTAAAGTACCTTCTATCTCAAAACTGGATTGATACACCTCTGCTCAGGCACAGGGCAGGGAGGCCTATTGGGAGGCTGTTGTCATCGAGTGAGAGATGACGGTGGGAGGTGAGAGGGGGTCTACCCAAGTGAGACTGGGGCAGTGGCAGAGGAGGTCAGGTTCCACATCTGTCCCAGTTCCTGATGCTTGTGATGTGGGGTGCAAGAGAAAGGAAAGGAAGGGTCCAGAATGGCTCTAGAATGATAGCGTACTAATATATATTTTAAAATGTGCCAAAAATGTGTTCCTCTCTGCTGCATTCTTACAAATCTCAGAGATTTGGAACCACGTTTATAGAGGGCAGCTGTGGAATGGAGAGCATTTACATGAGGCCTTTTAGGACGATACTTGGGGCCTACTTGGTTGCACGTGATCCTTAAGCCTTTGAAGAGAGAGCAACATGAAAAAGGGCTGAACTGAAGCGAATGGGATTAGACAATGGGTCGGATAATCCTCTCATGAGAAACGTCTCTGCCCAAAGTGTACATAAAACGAAGGAAACAATAGCAAAGTGTGTAAAAACCCATTCATACAACTTTGAACAGGCTTTTTTTTTCTTATCTTTTTCTTTTCCACACAGCCAAACAGAGGGGAAGTTCAACTTTGAACCAGATTACAAAGTCACCTGGAGCTCTAACAGGGAAAACTACTTCAGGGAAGGAGAGGAGGAAAAAAGGTATTTGGTTGTTGCTTCAGCTATCCCTTCATCTTCCTTTATCTGTAAATCACTTCCTCCTTTCATGGGCTGTGTGTTCCCACTACTGCAGTAATTACCCCAAACAGAAAAACTATGGAGAGAAAGAAGAGCCAGTGTCTTATGGTTTCCTATAAACCAAACACAGAACAGCTTAGCCATATCCACCAGAGGAATTTGTCTTTGGCACATTCAGCGAGCCAAAATCGATTATGGGGTGTAAGCTGGTTTGGGAATATCTCTGTAGTAAACAGCCAGCAGGACCTGATAAATTCCGCTTGGAGACTTCTCTCCTACCTTCAGTGCTTAGACTCAGAAACGGAGTCCTTTAGAGGCAGTTTTAAGAAATCACCAACACCAAAACCTCTGAGCAGGATTAAATGAAATGAGAAGCTATCCAAGTCTATTTTTTTAAAAAAATATTTAAGTAATCTATACACCCAACGTGAGGGCTCGAACTCATGACCCTGAGATCCAGAGTTGCACGCTCCTCTGACTGAGCCAGCCGGATGCCCCGAGAAGCTATCCAAGTCTTAAAGGCTTTAGAGCCAAGTGTTAGGGAAGCCAGGTTCTCCACCCAGCACTTGCCCCCGAGCCCGTTGCCTCAGCATCCTATTCTGCAAATCGAGGAATTTGCACTTACAGCTTCCTAAATCCCACTCCAGCTTTAACATGTTGAGGTTAGGGCGCCTGGGTGGCTCAGTCATTAAGCGTCTGCCTTCGGCTCAGGTCATGATCCCAGGGTCCTGGGATCGAGCCCCGCATCGGGCTCCCTGCTCAGCGGGAAGCCTGCTTCTCCCTCTCCCACTCCCCCTGCTTGTGTTCCTGCTCTCACTATGTCTCTGTCAAATAAATAAATAAAATCTTTAAAAAAAAAACATGTTGAGGTTATAAAGACACAGCACAAGATGATCACTAGATGTGGCATGAACACGGCCTTTGGAGAACTCTTTCTGGAGGCTAACCTAAATTTGTGTTGTTTTGTTTTAGTCCATTTTATTTTTTTGTCTCTGTACAACTCGTGTGTGAAAGGTGACAGGCCCTTGTGATGTAGCTCTTTACCCTTTGCCTTTTTCTTCCTCAATTTTAATCTGTTTTTGTGTGGTGTGGTCTTTTTCCTGCCCTTGAATTATCCTTGTATCTCCTCTGTGAAATCTCTCTGAATTAGATAAATACAGATTCCTATGATCTAAAAAGCCAACTGAAAATGTAAAGGGAGACAATTTATCAGACCTGTCTCTGTCGTCTGGTATAAATACAGTCTTACCACTGGACAGTGCTAGTAGATTTTGGAAAATCTACTAAAAGAAAAAAGAAAAAAAAAAAAAGAACTATCCTAGGTTATTTGTTTTAGACAGTTACCGTTTGGGGATATTTTCAACCAAAAATCCCTTCAGAGAAGTTGGTTGAGGTTCCTGTGGGGAGGAGGATGATCAGTGTCTCCAAGGCAGGTGGCTGTCCAGAGGACAGTCCTTACAATGGGCCAGATGACATCTGAGGGCAGAGGACTCCTGGGTCACTAATACTAACTCTGCATCTAGACCTAGTAGCAAGTGGTAAGTAGGACAAAGACTGAATGTGTGCATCATTCTGTGCGGGTAACTTGGCATTGCAGGAAGACCAAAAGGCCAAAATCTGTCTGGAACTTCAAGGCTTCTCAAGGCTGGAGAGAAGCTCTGGACACTATTTGTTGAGTCTCCCTGATTTAAAATTTTTTTTTTAAATTAATTAATGGCAAAGAAAATTAAAGAAATTGCATAATACTTTGTCTTTATGTTTAACAAGCTAACACTTATAACACATACAAAAACAGAATGCATGCACAGCTTCAGTAGGCAATGACAGCAGAATCTGAATGTAGTCGTGAATGACTCCACCTGTGTGCCACCCCCCACCCCAGTCCCCCACCCCCATGTAGGCCCTGGAGATGCTAAACCCCCGTAGAAGGTAGATAGTTTGAGGGAAAAGTCAAAGAGAGAACAGTACAACTGTTCATCCTTCAGCTTTTAAATAATAGCCACGTTGAGGCCTAGGTCCCAATAATAAACCTTTCAGCTGTTAAAACCCGGCACAAAAGGGGTGCCTGGGTGGCTCAGTCGTTAAGCATCTGCCTTCAGCTCAGGTCATGATCCCAGGGTCCTGGGATCGAGCCCCGCATTGGGCTCCCTGCTCGGCAGGAAGCCTGCTTCTCCCTCTCCCACTCCCCCTGCTTGTGTTCCCTCTCTCACTGCGTTTCTCTCTGTCAAATAAATAAATAAAATCTTAAAAAAAAAACAAAACCCAGCACAAAAACTATCAGACTTGCCTCTTTTGACCTTAAACAACAGAAATACGTTGTGTCACAGTCCTGGACCCTGGAAGTCAAGATCAAGATGTTGGCAGGGTTGGTTCCTTCTGGGGGTTCTGAGGGACAATCTGTTCCTTGCCTCTCTCCTAGCTTTTGGTGGTTTGCTGGCAATCTGGTGTTTCCTGGCTTAGAGATGCATCACCCGGACCTTTGGCTTCATGTTCCCCAGGCGTTCTCCTGTGTGCGTCTGTGTCCAATTTTTCCCTTTTTATAAGGACATCAGTCATATTGGATTAGGGGCCCAGTCTAGGCCAGTATGACCTCATCTTAACTAATCACATGTGCCATGACCTTATTTCCAAATAAGGTCACATTCAGAAGAACTGGGAGTTAGGACTTCAACGCAGGAATTTTGGGAGGGAACACAACTCAACAAGGGGTCTCAGAATGTAGTTTATAAACAGGATGCACACCTAGGAAAACAAATAGCCACACAAGGCAGCATCTGGCAAGGGCCAAACATGGACACTGGGTTCCGAGAAAGGCATTCTTCCCCAAGGATGGAACCGGGGCAAAGGCTCTGTGAATGAGCTAGTTGAAGTGTGGAAAGAAAGGACTTACAGGTGAAAGGATTTAAGAGAGGAGAGAGGGCTTAACAATGCAAGCCCACAAGCCTACAAAGTTTAGCTGGAACCAGAGGATGTGGGAGGGTGGGCTTGGCAAAGAGGGTGGGTCACATTAAGGAAGACTTTGCAAGTCAGGCCAAGAGTTGGGACTTAATCCAATAGGCAATGGGAGCCATTAAAGTCTTTTGTCTCCCCAGGGATCCTGTAGGAAAAGCCTGTATCTAATACATACTTATTTTACAGCTTATTGTCAGAGCAGACCATTTTCATGCTTTCCAGAATTCACAAAGCAGGTAAAAACAAACAAACAAACAAACAGCTTCCCACACTGGATAATTATTTTCACAATCATAAGGTGTTTGGTTGGGGGTGAGTTTGGTTTTTGGTAGAAGAGTTCTACTTGTTTCAAAATAAAGGGTCAGATTGAGCTGATTTATATCAACCTCTTGAGGGTGGAGTCCAGATGGTTTCCATTTGGTCCCAATTGGAAACAGCCAAACTATTTTTATGCTTGTCCCTTTGTGGACAGGAGGCTTTGGCCTGATGCTTGGAAAGTTAACTCATAGTACCGTATGAGTCAAAACCCCCATTCAGAAGCCTGACACCCTTTATTATTCTTCCTCAAATGTACAATTACAAAAACCTGACAATTTTACATTTAGCAACCAGTTGTAAGTAGATAGAAGTATTCCATTTCGATGCCTGCAGAATTTAGACATGAGTTTGTCCAAGCCAGTCCTGCCTCAAAGCAGCACCGAACATGAAGATTCATTAGATCAGTGGTTCTCAAACACAAGCAGCAGCAGAAACACCCAGAAGGCTTATTAAAGTGCAGATTGCTGGGCCCTGCCCAACACACTGCTGGATCTGTAGGTGGAGGTGAGGCTGGCAAGCTTGCATCTCTATCAAGCGCCTCAGGGATGTTGAAGCTGTTAGCCCAGAGTTCACACTTTGAGAACCACTGCTTTAGAATTAAAAGAAAATCAGGTTATCTACTTTGTTTTATTTTGCTCAGTGAAGAAAATCAAGAGGGCAGAGTGATGCTCCTAGATGCCTCTTCTCTGCGAGGGAGACCACAGAACAGAGAGGGCCCAGGGCTGAGCCTGCCTCTAGCTTCTGTCTCTTCCAGATCCAGTCCGGCCCATGTCTGAGCCCCATGGCTCTGTCCCAGGAGTCCATGGGAATTGGGGACCCTGGATCTAGAGGGTGATTAACACTCAAGAGAGGAGGTCTGGCCCAGCCGATGCCCAGTCACAAGTCTATCAGGCCCATAAAGAGCCGAAAGATGGCTTAACACTGGAGGTCACTGAAAGGTCATCAGGAATAGTCATCTGCAGCTTCCCTGAGCCCCATTCAGCCAGTCCTGCCATGTCACCTCAAGGCCCCAAAAGTTCCTGAAAGACTCAGCAAGGACTGAGGCATGTCCTGTCACCTGGGCCTACTCTGTTTCCCGGCCCAAATTCCACACCATAGTTCCTAGGATTGTCTTAATTCTCAAGGATTTAGGACCGGGAGGGCCAGTATATGACTTAGACATATATTGGGAGCAAAATCCAACCATAAAATGGTCAGTCCACAAGCTTGGGATCGATCAGACCTTTGCTACGGCGCCAAAGCCGCCCAAGTGTCAAATTCACTTACCCAAATAAGGCATTAATTGTTTATAACACAGCCATGGTCCATAGGAATATTCTGGCATTAAAGAATGCAAGGGTCGAGTTCAAAAGACAAGATGTAATCTTCAAAACAGCTTTATTAGTTCCAAATCAGGAAGTTACCGATTATAATCCTGAGATTATTTTACTTGGGAATTTTATCCTGGAGTGATAGCCGAACAATGGACCTTTGTGGACAGGTTCCCAGGTCCAAGGTGTGATTCATCCAACACTAATTACACTTTGCTTCCTTAAGTCCTGCAATCAAGCTAACAGAGTTTCTGTTCTGGTTTATAAATGTCTGGTAATTACACAGGAAGTCACACATGTTCCTTGTTGATGGAAAGAAGCTATTTTGAACAAGTGTTTTTGTTTTTTAAAATTTACTTATTTGAGAGAGAGAGTGCGTGTGAGCACGAGCAGGGGGGAGGGGCAGAAGGAGAGGGAGAAGCAGACTCCCAGCAGAGCAGGGAGCCCGAGGACTCCATCCCAGGATCCTGGGATCATGACCTGAGCCGAAGCAGACACTTAACCGACTGAGCCATCCAGGGGCCCTGAACAAATGTTTTTAAAAAATCAACCTTATTAAGAAGAAGGTCCTACCAGGACCTGGCATCCACAGTTGAACATTTGAGTAGTCCTTAAGCAAAATAATCTGATGTCCAACAGAATGTGTGATGTCCACCTGTTCTGGTGGTCCCAGGAGAGGCCAGAAAGTGAGGGAGAAGATGAGGAACCTCTCCGGAGGAACTTCTGGTTCCATGAAAATTTACACCTCACCTATGAGTGCTGGCCCACACAAGAAATAGAGCTCTCTGGAAGGACTGAGAAGAGGTTCATCAGCTGAGAAAGAGAGGGCATTCTAGGCAAAGGGGATCACCTGGGCAGAGGGTCAGGGGGTGAAAGTGCCCAGAGTGTTCAGTGTACAGGGAGTTTGACGTTCGCTGCAGTGGTCACTGGGAGAGTGGCAGAGGTATAACTGAAAAGGCCAGTGGACCCACTTGGCCCAAAGCCATGAATGCTGCTGAGTTAGGCTTTCTCCTATGTGCAAAGTGGGAGCCACAATTCCTCTGAAACAAGTCAGTGACATGATGAGAATGGGATTTTTGAAAAGAACCTTGGACAGCATTGCACAATATGTCGTAGAAAGAGGGACATCTGGATGATGGGAGACCAGTTTGGAGGCTATTACAGTAGCTCAGACAAGAGAGGATAAAAGGCAGAACGAAGAGTGCAGTGATAGAAAGATAGTCCAGATATATTTAGGAGGGAAATATGACAGGTCCGGATAGCCAGTTCAATGAGGGTGGTAAGAAGGACTGTAAAGTTAGGGACAATTGGGGGATCTTGGCAATTAACCGAAGAGAAAATGGGAAGAAACACAGGGTTGGGTGAGTCCATATGGATCTGCGGAGTGGCTTCTAGGGGAGGTGTGCAGTTGTCAGAAATATGTGTCTGATCCTTGGGAGGCAGTAGCAGAAGGGGAGACACCTTACACAAGCAGTTTCTTCCCCAGGGTGCTCTCATTCCAGTGTTTCAGTGACTTACAATATCCAGAAATGAAGCTGAGAAGATAGGCAATAATATTTATTGTGTACTAAGTTCCTTCACAGCCCTTATTTCACCATGCTTCCCAGCTGATCTTCACAGTGCCTCTAGGAAATGAGTATTATGATCTCTATTACAGCAGTGAGGAAATTTGGGTTCAGAGAAGTTAAGTGACTTTCTGGGGAGTCACACAGCATTTTTTGGAGCGAGGTTTTACTCCCAGAGATTCTGCTTTCTCTGTACCATCCTGCCTCTTGGCAGAACAGGCATTGCTGTGCCACACTAAGTTCTCAGAGACAGAGGGGGCAAATCAGTCACTGTCAGGGGCGCCTGGGCGGCTTAGTCAGGTAACTGTTGGACTCTGGATTTCAGCTCAGGCCCCGATCTCAGGGCTGTGAGGGAGAGCCCTACACTGGGCCCCGCGGCGGGCTCTGTGCTGGGTGTGGAGCCTGCTTAAGATTCTCTCTGCCCCTCCCCCTGTCTCTCTCCCTCTCTCTTAAAAAAAAAAAAAGTAGTCATTGTCAGTGAGCTTGTTTTTGTTTTAAAGAAATGTTAAGATTAAAAATAGGTTGGGGTGAATACAGCTGGGGTGGATCAAGTGTTACCAGGGGCTGAGCATGTAGTCACTCCGAGGAATTTGTTTTCCATTCAGAGAAAAGAATTTGGTTCTGTTTGAATTTTGGATGAGGGCCCAAAGCAGGAAGTCCCTGTACTAAGCAGCATTAGCCTTCCTACCATCTAACAGGGCACCGTGACTCACTACATTCTGCAGGATGGTTTGGACCTGCACTTCCCAAACAGGTTATTTTTCATGGGCAAAGATGACATTGCGACCGACCTTACCACCAGTTGGAGGGAGATTTGGGTTATTTCTCCCCATGGGGATGCAAGTTGTACTAGGCCAGTCACGGACCCGGAAGCTCCCTGTCTCTCCAGTGGCACACATTTGTGCCTTGCTGGCTGGAGTTGGTGGGGTGGCCGGGGTAGACTGGCAAAAACCAAGTTTCTTTCCTTGCAAAGCTAGGCAACTGCACAGGAATTTGGCCTTTGGCCTTGGCCCCGCTGGCCTCACGTTTCATCACCTCTGCTTTCTGGCAAAAAGAAACGAGTGCCACGTGCGATCAGTATCCACATCATTAATCATTCTGAGCAGAAAAGCTTTTCAGAGGCATTTATATTTGCAAAGAGATTTCATAAATAAAAAGACATATTCTTTTCCTGTTCATGAATGGTCTCAAGGCATTATTAGGTACACTGTACATGGAAAACCAATGAACAGTGAGATAAAAGTTTCCACAATATGATTGCATTCTGCACTCGATTATTCACTGATTCATTCATGTGTTCAACAGTTATTAAACACCCACAATGTGCCAGAGACTGTTCTAATTTATTAGCACTGTCAAATTATTCATAATAGCTGTCATTTGCCATCATTCCCATGCCCTGGATGTAAGAACCAATACATTTGGACAAGTTAGGTTTGTTCCCAATGAAACTAAATGATGGGCTGGGATTCATCCCTCCAACTGTGTTTTGAAGGAAAATAAATCCTGTCTATTTTATTCAACAATCCAGCAGATTACATTTGTAACCAAAGAAACCGATTGAATTTCTTTTTAAAGCACGCTTTTTTTTTCTTAAAGATTTTATTTATCTTATTTGACAGAGAGAGACACAGTGAGAGAGGGAACACAAGCAAGGGGAGTGGGAGAGGGAGAAGCAGGCTTCCCGCTGAGCAGGGAGCCCGATGCGGGGCTCGATCCCAGGACCCTGGGATCATGACCTGAGCCGGAGGTAGATGCTTAATGACTGAGCCACCCAGGCATCCCATTTTTTTTTAAACTGGCAAACTAGGGGCGCCTGGGTGGCTCAGTCGGTTAAGCGACTGCCTTCGGCTCGGGTCGTGATCCTGGAGTCCCAGGATCGAGTCCCGCATCAGGCTCCCTGCTCGGCGGGGAGTCTGCTTCTCCCTCTGACCCTCCCCCTCTCATGCTCTCTCTCTCTCTCTCTCTCTCATTCTCGCTCTCAAATAAATAAATAAAAATCTTTAAAAATAAATAAATAAATAAATAAACTGGCAAACTAGAATGGCCCAAAGTCCCGATTTATCACCTTCCCCTGAAAAGTCAGTTCTCTTCCATGACTTGAAAACTTATACTTGGTTATCATTGACTCTCCTCTCTTCCTTGCTCTTCGTATACACTAGTTAGCATTCACTTCATGTCAGATTCAGAAGGGCAGGTAGTTTTGTTTCTTTTGTTCCCTGTTGGGTTCCCAGCACTTCGGACAGTCCCTGGCATATAGTAGAGCTCAGAAATATTTGTTGAATGCTGAATGAATTCAAGTACAAAAGAGTCTTGTCTACCCCTTGGGATTAGGTTCTCAAGTCAGCCTATTAGGCAAAATTAGTGTATAGCTCAGTGATTCTTCATAATCCCTTAAACTGCCCACACAATAAACATATAGGTATATGATTTCTAAGTCCTGTGCGGTTTCTTGCCCCCTTGGGAGCGGATCATTGTTTGTCAGTTAAGCTCCAGATGAAGGAGTCAGCTAGTGTTGAGGGGGTTATATTGCACACAAAGCATATGACTTCGAATACTTGGAGGCCTTTGGGAAGCCATCTGGCTTTGGGACCAGATTCAGGTCTCTCATCTCACACCTACTGAGTCTGTCTCCATCCCCTCCCTGTCTTTTTCTTTGCCAAACTCCTAAACTTGAACTGGTATAAATTAAATGTGTACATATGCCTTGGCACAGCACTGACACCGAGCTTTATGAAATGGGGGTGAATCAGACTGCGGGGCCACTGACCTCAGTTGGGAAGTCTACAAAGGCGAGATGGTTCTTCCTCCTTCAAATTTGCCCTTCCAGAGCTCAAAAAATGTGACAACTTTGCAGGCTCTTTTAAAGAGCTGAATCCCTGGATAAAGACTATCACTTTCCCAGGGTCAGTGGACAACTCATTTATCTTCTACCAGGAAATTTCTAAAGACACTGATTTTCCTCTTTAGCCAAAGTAAAGGCAACAATCTAAATCTTAAGTGAGATTCCTTTTCATACAGAGCAATTTGAGGCTTGCTATTGTAAAGAATAAAGTATTTTTTAAATTTTTTTTTTTAAAGATTTTATTTATTTGACAGAGAGAGACACAGCGAGAGAGGGAACACAAGCAGGGGGAGTGGGAGAGGGAGAAGCAGGCTTCCCGCGGAGCAGGGAGCTCAATGTGGGGCTCGATCCCAGGACCCTGGGATCATGACCTGAGCCGAAGGCAGATGCTTAACGACTGAGCCACCCAGGTGCCCCAAGAATAAATAATTTTTTTAAAGGACTTCTTAAATTGTATGTATTTCCTTCACTATATTGCAAAATGTATCTACTCACGCAAGTCAAATAAGTACAATCTTAAAAAATAAAATCAACTTAGCTGGTGGTAAATGGGGGAGCTATCATCTAAAAATAATAAAATACTATTATTTTCTTATAGGAATCAAGAAAATTAAAGATTTGACTGATGCTGGTCCTTGGTTAGTGAAATTGTATTTGGCAGATAATGGCATAGACAGAAAAGGAAAAGAAGGAGAAAATGGCTTGTTGGAATTCACTCAAATTTTAACATGGTGAGTAGAAAAGAGGTTTTATTTGTTCACCTTCTAAAACTAGGTGCTTGGGTTAAATTATAGGGACAGTGATTTAATTGCAATTTATTAACAGGGCCAAGCGAAGTTTTCAGCTCTGAGAGGGAAGCAGTGACCCACTTTGGTCTTGGTATGTGATCTTAAGGGAAGGCCTGAAATCACAAAAATGGCATGGCAGACAGTTGTATATGAGCCCACAAAGGGGCCCCAAAGACCTCACTAGAAGCCCCATTTAATGAAGTTGGCAACCGAGGAAAGGCGGGAGTTATGACCTCCAGATTTTCCTTCCCTGAAGTCCGCTATGTGACCTAAGGAAGAAAGGCAGTCTACTCAAGAGTGAACACTGTTTATTTTTTTATTACAAAGTTGTCTCACCTACTTAGGCAGAAAGAGCTTTTCTCAAAAGCTTCTGGAAAACAGAATATTTCCTTACCATATTTATGCTGCAACCTTGGACATCTCTTTGCCCAGCTGTCCTGAATCCCATACCCAGTGGGCTAAACCACAAGTGAGCATTTGTAGCACTCTGTGACCTAAGGAAACCTTGTTCAGTAGAGGGCTCCAGGTTATACCATCTTAGATATCAGTACTTACAGCACCTTAGGGCAATCAAGGGCAACAGAACATAGCTAACATTTGAGACTTGAGAGCTTGATTGATGGCTATTTATTATTTTAGAAGAAAAAGATTCTTTTTCTCATATATTTCTTTATTTAGGAAAGTTGGGAATTTCCAACTTGGATAGCTTGGCTGCTATTTTTATAATAGTTATATTAATAAACTTCACATTATTACCCTTTTAATATATTGCTAGATTTAATACACTGCTGATATATTATCCTTTTAGTATATTGCTAACATTTTGTTAAGGGTTTTCACATCTGTGCTCATCAGGGATATTGCTCCCTACTTTTCTTTTCTTGTAATGTTTTCCTCTGGTATTGGGATCAGGTGATTTTGGCCTTACAGAATGAGTTAGGAAGTGTTCCCTCCTTTTCTATTTTATAAAAGAACTTGTATAGAATTGGCACTGTTTTATCTTTAAATATTTGGTAGAATTCACTAGTGAATACTTCTGGACCTGGAGTTTTCTTTATGGGAAGATTTTTTAACTACAAATTCAATTTCTTTAATAGATAGAAGGCTATTCTGGTTATTTTGTGAGGGGGTTGTTAAGCTTTGGTAGTTTACATCTTTTAAGCAATTTGTTCATTTTGGCTAAGTCTTCAAATTTATTGTCTTAAAGTTATTCATAATATTTCCTTCTCTTCCTTTTCCTATCTGGAGGATCTGTAGTGATGTCTCCTCTTTTGTGCTTAATATTGATAACTTGTTTTCTCTTTTTTTCCCAAATCAATATGACTAGAATTTTATCAATTTTATTGATCTTCTCAAAGAACTTGCTTTTGGTTACCTCTCCTATTTTAATTTTTTCTATTTCATTGATTTATACTCTTATTTTTATTATTTCCTTTATTCTGTTTATCTTGGGTTTAATATGCTCTTCTCTTTCTAGTTTATTAAGGTAGAAGCTTAAGTTATTGATTTTGAACTTCTTGTTTTTCTAATGTAAATGGTTATATTAACACTAAGCACTTTTTCATTGCATCCTACAAATTTTGATATGTTGTATTTTTTTTTAAAGGATTTTATTTATTTATTTGTCAGAGAGAGAAAGAGAGTGCACAAGCAGGGGGAGCAGCAGGCAGAGGGAGAAGCAGGCTCCCTTCTGAGCAAGGAGCTGAATGTGGGACTCGATCCCAGGACCTGGGATCATGACCTGAGCCAAAGGCAGATGCTTAATCTACTGAGCCACCCAGGTGTCCTGTGATATGTCATATTTTTATTGTCATTCAATTCTAACTATTTTCTAATTTCCCTTTTAATTTCTTTGACCTATGGGTTATTTAGAAGAGTGCTATTTAGTTTCCACGTATTTATAAATTTTTCAAATACTTTTCTCTAGTTGATTTCTAATGAAATTATGCTGTGATTGGAGAACATACCTGTTTTATGGCCCAGATTATGATCTGTCTTGGTAAATGTTCCATGTGCACTTGAAAAGAATGTATATTCTGCTATTTTTGGATGGAATGTTAAGAAATGTCAGTTAGGTCCGGTTGGTTGGCAGCATTGTTATGGTTTTCTCTATCTTTACAAATTTTCTGTTTATTCTATCAATTATTGAAAGAAGGATAATTATGACTTTGTATCTCCTTGCAATTTAATCAGTTTTGCTTCATGTATTTTTTAAAAATATTTATTTTATTTATTATTTAGACAGAAAGAGAGCGGGGTGGGGGAGCATGCAAGCAGGGGGAGGGGCAGAGGAAGAAGGAGAGAGAGAATCTCAAGCAGACTCCCCGCTGAGGGCAAAGCTCAATGTGGGGTTCGATCCCAGGACCCCTAGATCATGACCTGAGCCAAAATCAAGAGTCGGACTCAACCGACAGCCATCCGGGTGCCCCTTGCTTCATATATTTTTAAGGTCTGTTGTTAGGTGCAAAACATTTAAGATTAAGTCACTTGGGGGTGCCTGGGTGCCTCAGTCATTAGGCATCTGCCTTCGGCGTGGGTCATGATCCGGGGTCCTGGGATCGAGCCCCACATCAGGCCCCCTGCTCGGCGGGGAACCTGCTTCTGCCTCTGACCCTCCCCCCTCTCATGTGCTCTCTTTCTCTCATTCTCTCTGTCTCAAATAAATAAATAAATAAATCTTAAAAAAAAAAAAAAGATTAAGTCACTTGAAGAATTGACTCTTATCGTTATGAAATCCCTGGTAATATTTTTCTCTAATCTCTGGTAATATTCCCTTCTCTGAAATATACTTTGATGAATATTAATATAGCTACTTCAGCTTTCTTTGGATTAATATTAGCATGGTAATCTGTTTCTGTCCTTTTACTTTTAACCTATATATATTTTTATAGTAACTTCTCTATAACTCAGTTTCCTCATTTGTAAAAATGGGGATAATAATAGTGTCTCACTCAAGAGCGTGTTACAGGGTTAAATTAGATCATGTATGTAATATGCTATATACAGTGCATAGGGCTCCAGCTAGCACCTTTATACAAATTAGAAAAAGAGCCCCTCCAGACAGATAAATTAAAAGAGGCACCACCTCTGGCCAATGAGTCAGAGGAGCTTACCCTTTCTAGGTCTATGCTTCTGGTCCCAGAACTTGACAAACAGAGCTTGGCAGGTTTCAGCCCTACTCACACCTTTGGAGGACCCCTTTGTGCTGGGCACAAGTGCTTAAGCATGTGGGTGGCCCTGATCACATCTGATGCATAGTAAATATTCCATAAAACCCTAGCTCATGTGAGGCTGTGTAGTGTAGTGATTAAATCCCTGGCCTCTGAAATCAGACTTAGTTGTAGAATTGTCGAATTGTGAAGTTTGTCTTCAACACTCTTCCTTCTCCTTCTAGAACGCCTGCTTCCTCCTGAAGCATCCCTGCTCTCACCCATCTTATCTGAAGGAATGGGACACAGGCAGGCAGTTCAGGAAGCTGAAGCCAGGCAAGTCCTGATTAGATAGGCTATTTCCTTGGGAGCAAGACCTTTAAGACAGAGAGTCTGGCAGAACCATTGAGCCCCACCCTTGAATTCTAGCTGCGGAATCAATAGAAAGTGTGTACAGGGAGAATGACCTTGTATTTACTACTGATCTTAACTGAAATTTCACATCCCCAGTACATGGTAAGGACTCATAATTGTTTTATTGAAAGTCATATGATAATATCTTTCAGAGCAGAAGCCATGTGTTATATTCCTTTAATCTGCAGTGTTACATATATCATATGCATTTAGTAAGCATGCACTCAATATAATAACATCACTGGTACTGCATTTGCAAGATACTTTCATAGGAACTGCTTCATTCTGTTTTCACCACAACCTTATAAAATAGGCAGAAGAGCCATTTTGGGGGCCAATGTTACAGATGAGGAAGATGAGACCCAAGAGGGCACATGGCCTGCCCATGTTTACACGGTTGACAGGAGGTAGAAGCTGACCAGAAGCCCAGGACTTCACCCGATTCCATGTCTACTCATGATGCCAGAGACTCTCAAAGACCAGTTGGCAGGCCAGTGCTGGGACATGAAGGAATTTTCAATAATCCTCAAAGAGATTAGAAAAAAAAGATAGATGGAGTATTCATTTTTCATAAAGCTAAACTTACTTAATTTTCAAAGCTATCCTTTATTTTGAGACTATGCGCTTTCTAATTTTGTGTAAAAACATTTGTTCTGCTATAGTGTTGCTAGGTGAGAATTGTTATTTATTTGACATACTAGAAGTTGTCAAGCCAGTCCCCCCCCAAGCTTTTTGACATTTTACTGGTGCGTAAATTCTAAAAGACTGGGAAGCCCTGCACAACGCCACATCATATCTTCTGAATAAATAAGTGAATGGAAGATTTAAGGCAACTAAAAGTCTTTATCCTACCAATTTACTTAGGAGAGGCATCCAAACTAGAGAGATTAAACTGGAAGCCTGGATTCAGTTTCAAATTGGGTCAGTGCATCGTCTTTGGAAGGGGGTTGTTAAGGAGAGTGCTGAGGACCTAAGAAGAGAGATCAGACTCCAAAATAAGTGGACTGAGTTTCTTTGAGTAACCATGCTTGACACAATGCCATTTTTTTTTTTTTTTAAGATTTTATTTATTTATTTGACAGAGACAGAGATAGAGAGAGCAGGAACACAAGCAGCGGGAGGGGGAGAGGGAGAAGCAGGCTTCCCCCCGAGGAGGGAGCCCGACCTGGGACTCGATCCCAGGACCCTGGGATCATGACCTGAGCCGAAGGCAGACGCTTAACGACTGAGCCACCCAGGCGCCCCTACACAATGCCATTTTGATTTGTCCTCTTCTGTGGCCAGCCTGATCACATCCTCTGCTCACTTAAGGGAAATTGACCTCGGAAACAATGTCCTGGGAGAAATGGCTGTTCCTGACATTCTTGAAGCACTGAGAGCCAGAAAGACAGGTAGAGTGTTCGTGGTTTGTGTTCCCCTGCACTCGTCCACATCTACTCACCCCTAAATGCTATACTACTCACAGTTTGCTCTACTTTTTTCATTAAAGAACTGGCCTGAGCTAAGTGATGACCAAGAGCACTGTCATAAGCCACCTACCCTTGTATCCATTTGCTCAGTGATTTGCACAGAGTTCAAGAACTTTTATGATGTCATATGTCATCTTTGACATAAGCACGGTAGCCTCCCCTTATGCATGGCGGACATGTTCCAGGACCCCCAGTGGATGCCTGAAACCTCACATAGGACCAAACCGTATATATGTTGTTTTTTTCCTGTACAAACTTACCTATGAGAGTTTAATTTATAAATAACAATAATAAATAGTAAAGTAGAATACTTATGATAGTATACTGTAATAAAAGTTATGTGAATGTGGTCTTTCTCTCAAAATATCTTACTGTACCATACTCGCTCTTCTTGTGATGATGTACAAAACCTGCATGAGGAGATGAAGTAAGGGGAATGACACAGTAGCATTAGGCTACTATTGACCTTCTGATGATTCCTCAGAGGGAAGACCATCTGCTTCCTGACCATGAGTAACTGGAGCTATAGAGAGAGAAAGCGCAGATTAGAGGAGGGTTACTGTAAGGAATATTCTCTGAGGGACCCTCTCCTATTCTCTATTCTCCCCCACAACCCAAACTGCAGATATTTCTGCAGACAGCAACTGGAAAACTCAAGCGACATCCCTTACAAGATTCTGACGTGCTTGCTGGACCATCTTAAATTGTGATTGACATCGGGAGAACATGAAGGGTCCTTTATGACCATGTAATCCTTTGAAAATGAGAGAATCACATATGGAATGAGTTATTTATTTAACATTGGCCAACCCTGCCCTCCTCCTTTCGTTAATATGCATGACCAGAATTAATGATAGTCATTCTTACTGCTGACAGAGAGAAGATGAGAAAGCGTCATTTAAAATAAAGCTCAGTGAAAGACATTGTAAACAGATTTAAACATCCAAATTCAGTGTTTAAAAAGGGGGTAAGAGGGCACCTGAGGGGGTCAGTTGGTTAAGCGTCTGCCTTCAGCTCAGGTCATGATCCCAGGGTCCTGGGATCGAGTCCCGCTTCAGGCTCAGCCTGTTTCTCCCTCTCCCTCTGCCTGCCTCTCTGCGTACTTGTGCTTCTATCTCTCTGTCAAATAAATAAATAAAATCTTTTAAAAAAATAAATAAATAAGTAGGGGAAAGACTTCTAGAAGACTGATGAATCACAGACCTGTACCCCTGAAACCAGTAATACATTATATGTTAATTTGAACTTAAATTAAAAAAGGCGGGGTGAGAAATCTTGGTGCATTATCTGGCAGGTTACATGAAGAGAATTAAGTAGTACAAGCATTGGTCTTTATCATTTCCTCGATAAAATGACCTTAGAGACACAGCATAGTTTTAGATAGCATTTTTTCCTAATACTGGCAGTTTTAGAGAAAAGAATTACAATATTACTGTCTACCACGTTGCCATTTTTATTTTTTTAATTTTAATTTTTTAAAGATTTTATTTATTTATTTGACAGAGAGAGAGACACAGCGAGAGAGGGAACACAAGCAGAGGGAGTGGGAGAGGGAGAAGCAGGCTTCCCGCTGAGCAGGGAGCCCGATGCGGGGCTCGATCCCAGGACCCTGGGATCATGACCTGAGCCGAAGGCAAACGCTTAACAACTGAGCCACCCAGGCACCCCAATGTTGACATTTTTATACTGAAGCCACTGCATCGTCATTTCTTCACAGCCAACCAAATGATCTCAAGATTTTTGAATTATCCTTTTATTTTGTAGAAACAGAACATCTACTTCCTAGTCCATTTGAGTTGAATTCAAATGCAATGGAATTATTCTTTTAAAATGAATTTGAATTGAACTTTAAGCTCAATAAGCTGAAAGCAGGTTAATGACTTCATTTGGTTTTCCTTAGCACTGTGGTCACTTTCTCACCATACCCTGCTTTAGCAGAAGACATTATAAAAGGCTGCAGGTAGTCTTCGGATCATTACTGTAGTGAGTGCAAATGATGGACAGTCTCAGCTGATTTGATGGAAAATGATTCTCATCGAGTACTTATTTGGCTCTGCAAAACATTGTGCTTGCCTAGTAAATGGTTCAATTTGCGTAAATGGGGAAGGTAATTATGAAATACCCACCTGAAAATACAGATTCTCATTTAAAAAGCATTAAAAAACAATTCACAGTTCAAGAAAGTGTTTTTTCCCCCATATGTAGTAGTATATATCATGAGTAACTTTAATACATCCACATTTTGAACCAAAATAATTATGGCATGTTTCTGATGGAGCACTTTCAATTGTTAGTTTGAACACCAAGAAAGACTCCTCAAAACAGGGTTAGCTGGTTGGATTCTTTAAGGAAATCTCCTGCCATTTAGCCTTAATGGTAGCCTTTTAAACATTAAAAGCAATTAGTAATATCGTTGATTATAGAACTAATGTTCTTCTTTTGATTGCTTGCGTGTTCTTATCATTTGCAAGTTAACAAGCTAATTTCTAATCCTAACCCTACTTCTTTCATGAAATCCAAATTAACAGCCTAAAGTCATTTATTTGTCTACCAAGGAATTCTTTTTTTTTTTTTAAAAAGATTTTTTATTTATTTATTTGACAGAGAAAGACACAGTGAGAGAGGGAACACAAGCAGGGGGAGTGGGAGAGGGAGAAGCAGACTCCCTGCCGAGCAGGGAGCCCGATGCGGGACTCCATCCCAGGACTCCAAGATCATGACCTGAGCTGAAGGCAGTCACTTAACCAACTGAGCCACCCAGGCGCCCTACCAAGGAATTCTTAACGAACTACCTTTTTTTTTTTTTTTTTAAGATTTTATTTATTTATTTGAGAGAGAGAATGAGAGACAGCACGAGAGGGAAGCGGGTCAGAGGGAGAAGCAGACCCCCCCTGCTGAGCGGGGAGCCCGATGCGGGACTCGATCCCGGGACTCCAGGATCATGACCTGAGCCGAAGGCAGTCGCTTAACCAACTGAGCCACCCAGGCGCCCACGAACTACCTTTAATGATGGAACACACACACACAATGAAAGCTTTCTCAGAAACATCAGCAACCTCCTTGTTACCAAAAAAAAAAGGTTAGCAGAGGGAGAAACTGCTGTCTACATCTTAAAGGGTTGCTTTTTTACTAATTAAAAAACAAAAACAGAAGACTTCAGGATCATTTAAGTTATCCATTCTTACTTATCTATTTATTTCAACATTAATCTATTAAATGCTGTAGAACAAGGCAAAAGGGCCCTCAGCGACCACTGAGCCAAATGCAAATAGGCTCATTAAGTGACCGCCTTGAAATAGCCATAGGCCCTAACTGACCAGTTATAACCAGGCACAGTTCCTAAGCTTACCAAAAAAGGGAAAATTCCATACGTTCCCTGCCTCCTCACTCTGCCCTATAACTGGCGCCTCACCACTGCCTCCTAGCAGAGTCTCTCCTTTGCTGTCCTGTCCACCGCTCCCTTGCAGTGTATTCAGTAAACTTTTATCTCTTGTTCTGCCTAGGGTGAATCCTTTCACCACCCATGCTGCCGGCCTCCTCCCAATTGGAGCAGCCCACATTTGGTGGCCTGCACATCTGATCAGGACACCCCACAAATGCCAGGCCTTGTTTGAGTTGAGCAGTGAATCCCTGCTTTCATGGGTCTTCCTTGCTAGTGGATGACAGACAGTAAACCAACTCTAAAGAGAAGTAAAGGGGCGCCTGGGTGGCTCAGTTGGTTAAGCGACTGCCTTCGGCTCAGGTCATGATCCTGGAGTCCCGGGATCGAGTCCCGCATCGGGCTCCCCGCTCGGCGGGGAGCCTGCTTCTCCCTCTGATCCTCCCCCCTCTCATGTGCTCTCTCTCATTCTCTCTCTCAAATAAATAAATAAAATCTTAAAAAAAAAAAAAGAGAAGTAAAATATACATTATTGTATATCAGATGGTGATCATACTTAAGGGAAAAATAAAGCAAGAAAAGGAGATAAAGCATGTATGTCAGGGGATGGGGAGTTTAGTTAGGATAGCCAGAGAAGGCTGTACTAAGAAGAAACATTTGAGTAAAGACCGCAAGGTGTGTGAGAGCAAGCCATGTAGATATTTGGGAAAAGAGCGGTCCAGGTAAGCAGAACAGTAGGTGCAAAGGCTTATGGCAGGAGGCTAGCTGGTGTGTTCTAAAACCAGTATGGAAGCCAGCATGGCTGGAGTGGAGTGAGAAATAATGGGAAGGTAATAGGGCAAAATAATTCCAAGAAGTAGACGTGGAGGGCAGGGGGTCTTCTAGGCAATTATGAGGACTTTGGTTTTTAACTTTATTGAGATGGAAAGGCATTTGAGAATTTTAAGAGGAGTGACCTGATCTGACCCACATCTTATCAGGATTACTTCAACTCTAAGTTGAAAATAGATTCGAGGAGAGGTGAGGACAAAAGAAGGAAGACCAGTTAGGGAGTTTTCTCTGGAAAAATTAAACAGCCATTCAGCAGACCTAGGACATCCAGCATGGCTGGAATTAGGGTAAAGTAAGAAGCTGAAAAGAGGATTAGGGAAAATTCTACACACTGAACACTTCCAGCCTTTACCATTACCTGAGCCACTTTTGTCTGCCCTGCTTCTGGAGACTGATAGCCATGTAGAAGACTGGGGTATTCTTTTTATTTATTTATTTATTTTTTGAGAGAGGGAGAGCATGCACGCAAGCGCAGGGGTAGAGGGGGGACGGGCAGAGAGAGAAGGAGAGAGCATCTTTTTTTTTTAAAAAAAGATTTTATTTATTTATTTGATAGAGAGAGACAGAGAGAGAAAGGGAACACAGGCAGGGGGAGTGGGAGAGGGAGAAGCAGGCTTCCTGTGGAGCAGGGAGCCCGATGCGGGGCTCGATCCCAGGACCCTGGGACCATGACCTGAGCCGAAGGCAGACGCTTAACAACTGAGCAACCCAG